ATATTTAGTATCTACAAAAATTGTTGCCAGTCTGACTGAATCATTATACTTAATACATATATAAATTGAAAGCAAGATCAAGTTAGCATCGTATTATATAAAACACAATGGCAATGGAATAATCATTTCTTACCACATATTTTATATCTCATAAATGAGTATGTAACCATTTATATATTTAAAAACCTGGAAAGTGAATGTTATTAGAGTTGCATTTATAGAGTACAATAGATGTCAGTACTGTATAAATTATTTTATATTTTTCATACATTTAAATAGAAAGTAAGTACTCAAAAAACTTTTGTTCATTTCTCTACAGTATGTTTGAAAACATATACATTTGCTATCATGGTTTCTGATGGTTATTGCAAGCAAAATTCAATTATTTGCGGGAATGAAACTTAAATACAACTTTCTTATCGTATAAAATAAATGGTTTTCCTCTACTCAGTCCTTAATCAACTTATCTTGTAAGCAATACTATTTTAAAAGACCAAGGTGCACTATTTATAATATCTCCATAGGCAATTTATAGTTATAGATATTCTAGTTAATTTTATCTGGTTAAAAAACAACTCCACATTTCACTATTAATTCTTTGAGTTAATTCTACTGGGATTTTTTTCAGCAGTTTGTTTAAAGAAAAAACATATATTTTGATGGTGTGTGAAACAGCCCACTATTAACTCTTTGGTTAATAGTGGGCTGGTTTCATACATTATCCAAATATATGTTTAGTTGTTTTTAAATGGATTGCTGAAAAAATCCCAGTGGCTGGGCCCATGCTAAAACATGATTTCCACCAATAAATATTATCTCCCCAAATCAAAATGAACCAAAATGAACTCATGTTACATTTTAAGCACAATTTGGGAAACCTTCTAATGTTTTTATGCAAAATTGTGTAATAATAATAATAATGGTGGTGGTGGTGGTGGTGGAAGGAAGGGATCTTGGAAGTCTTCTAGTACAACCCCCTGCTCAGGCAGGAAATCCTATACCATTTCAGACAAACATTTGTCCAGTCTCTTCTTAAATTTTCCAGTGTTGGAGCATTCACAATTTTGGAGGCAGGTTGTTCCATTGATTAATTGTTTTAACTGTCAGGAAATTTCTCCTTATTTCTAGGTTGCTTTCCTCCCTGGTTGGTTTCCAACTGTTGCTTCTTGTCCTTTTTTCAGGTGCTTTGGAGAATAGCTTGACTCCCTCTTCTTTGTGGCAACCCCTGAGATATTGGAACACTGCTATCATGTCATCCCTCGTTCTTCTCTTCATTAAACTAGACATACCCAATTAAATTACTTGAATGAGGGGATAGATGGGGAACTCATCAAATTTGCAGATGAAACCAAGCTGGCAAGAATAGCCAACCCTCCAGAAGACAGGCTTAAGATACAGAAAGATCTTGACAGACCTGAACATTGGGCACTATCTAACAAAATGAAATTCAATGAAGAAAAAAGTAAGGTTCTACATTTAGGCAAGAAAAACCAAATGTACCGTACATGTATAGTACAGGTGGTACCACACTCAATAGTAGTAACTGTGAGAGGGATCTCAGAATCCTAGTGGACAATCACTTAAATATGAGCCAACAGTGTGCTGCAGCTGCCAAAAAAGCCAACACGGTGCTAGGCTGCATTAATAGAGGGATAGAATCAAGATCATATGAAGTGTTAATACAATTTTACAATGCCTTGGTAAGGCCACACTTGGAATAGTGCACCCAGTTTTGATCACCACAATGTAAAAAAGATGTTGAGACTCTAGAAAGAGTACAGAGAAGAGCAACAAAAATGATTAGGGGACTGGAGGCTAAAGCATATAAGGAACGGTTGGAACGAAACTCACCTGGCATAGTCATAGATGTTCCAGAACTTATTGCTGCTATTTCTCCAAATTATTACTGAATAATTTGCATGCTGAACAAATTTGAACATTTCCTTCTATAAGACAGAAATATTTCTTCAAATACTTTCCATAAACATTTTAAATAATTAACCATGGGAGATTTGCTTACTAATTTTCTCATTTTCTGATGCAACTAGTGAATCCCAAAGAGTATCTAATATTAAGAACTTTCTCCTTAGATTGCCGTGTTGTTAAGAGATTAATAATTTGTTGATCCATTTGAATATTTCTCAGCAAGTCCCAAGAGTTCATATGGTCACACTCATACACAGATTTTTTTAAAAAAGCATATGTGTTATTTACTAACTGGATTCTGGATATGGCCTGTTTGTTCCAGGGCATCCAGAAGAGGATGAAAACCATCAAAATAGGTCAGGACTTCAATTGTCTGATCTCAATAGAAATCTTGATTTTTCAAGGTGTCTTGTAACAGCACATAAAAACATTCCATGCTGCCAGGCCACAACTCTAAATAGTATACTTTCTAGGATTCTTCCTTATTATTTGTTTATTGAAAACCTTTATATAACTACCTATCTTTTATTCAAACCTGGGTGCTTCCCAATCAAAGATAAAAATACATACAAATCATATTAAAACTATAACATTAAATCAATTAAACATTAGGAAAACAAAAACTTAGTGCCAAACCAAACTTGTAATATGCAATAATCTAGTCTTCTCTCTTGAGGAAAAAGCCAGCTCTTCAAAGCCTCATAGAAGGCTAAAAGATGGAGACCTGTTGAACCTCAGGGAGTGTTCCATAAAGAAGGGGCAGTCATGGAAAAGGCACATTTCCTACCTAATATCAGATGGCAATATTTAGGGAAGCGACTACGAGGATACCTTCTATCTGAACTGATAGGACATGTAGATGGTTTTAGGAAAAGGTGGTCCTGCAAATGGATAGACCTGTTCCATAAACAATTCTAAAAGTGATAACCAGCACCTTTAACTGAACCCAGAAAGAAAATGTAAGTCAGTGCAGCTGGCATAAGACAAAGGTCACATGGGCACCTATGGACTCACTCTTACTGTGCATGTTGCCGCATTTTGAAGTTTCTGGGTATTCTTCAAGGGCAGCCCCAGGTAGAACATATTGCAATAATTCAGGCCAAGGCATGAGTGACTACGAATCAAGCCTCTCGGGCCAGGAAAATGTGCATTGATGCACCAGACAAACCTGTTCACCTTCAGCCATGGCTGCCACTTGCTCATTAAGCGAGGGCCATGAGTCCAGAAAGACTTCCAAATTGCACAGCAACTCAGTCCATGGAAGTAGCACCCCATTCCAGAGTCAAAGATGAAGAATCATCTGGCCCTGTGGGCCCAAAAACCTTTAGAAACTCTATCTTACCAGTTGAAATTGGTTCCTCCCGATGCAAATCTGGATCAGGAGCAATAGAGCATTGTGACAGAAAATAGAAAACCTCTGAGGCAGATGAGGAAAATGGTAAACTGGATGTCATTTTTCTAATAATCTTTGGAATTGTAATTATTGTACAGTAAAAGACATCTTCCCCCAAAAAATTGAAAAACTACCTTTTATTCTAAGTAAGATAACAAAACATCATCCCAAGTGTTAACTAGCAATTTAAAGAACTTAAGAAATATAAAACAAATTACAAAAGATGAATAAAAATTATTGTAAAAGTTTTAAACAGACTAAGGAATGAGACAAATTTAGAACATTAGGATTTTTGTTAAACTTTTTGAAATTTTTTTAAAAAGTAGCATTTCTATAGGAATACAAATTTATTCCACAAGAAGAGATTATAGGCTAAAAATTGAAAAAAAAGAGGAATGAAACCTGAAACTTCAGAACGTAGAAATAGGCCACTGGAAGGAACATAAATTTTAAGCAGGAAAAAGAAAATAATAATCTGCCAAATGACATATAAAGATATTTCACTAAAAGCATTTTGGCAGAACCAGAAGAAAAGCTTATAACCAGGGCTTTTTTTCCTCATAGAACGCCCAGAACGGAGGTCCGGCACCTTTTTTGGATGGAACCTTGCAGGGAGTTCCGGCACCTTTTTTTTTTTTTTTTTTTTTACAAAAAAAGCACTGCTTATAATCAATCTGAAAGCAGTAATCTCTGTACCAGAAATGTATTTTTGAAGATTATAAAAAGAAGTGATTGATTTAATAGACAAAATATAAAGAAAAAATTATAGATACGAGTAAGAAGAGGGATATAAAGTTTTATCAATCTTAAGCAACTATATCCAACAAGTCCCTTCTTGTTTTTAAACATACAGTAATAAGATACAACCATAATCTCCTAGGTAAGAATGCTAGAATGTGCACATTCTTTATAATGAATAATATTCAATTTTACAAATCATGCTGCTTTACAACAACCCAGGAACCCCATATATTCCTTCTTCATGATTTAGAGAATATCAAAATCTTGCAAGATTATCAAAGGCATTCATTTCTCATTTGTCCCATAAATGTTAATGCAAGCAGCCTTAGATGTATAGTTTTTTGGACAATTCATTATGATTTATGCACTTTATTTTTAATATTTCTAGGAAAAAGTAAACCAGCAACCGGAACAAATAGAAGTAAACAAGTTAATCAAAGCTGTGTTATAAGAGAAAATATCAAAACAGATCCATTAACAATAGAAAATTATTTTTAAAAGATCATTATTTCATAGACATTTTATGTTGATTATTTAAGGGATTATAACATAAATTACATTTAAAGTTTTTTAAAAATTAAAAGCCTATAATGAGAAAAAAAACTTAATAAGATTTTTTTAAAAAAAATAATAAATGGTAATTAAATATAAACTATTGGAAATGTACTAACAAAACTATTCAGATTGTACACATACATTAGCAAAAGTTTTAGAATCCACATAAAATGATAGGAGACAGCAGAAAAAAATTTAGAAACTGGAAGCCTGTGAAATTTGACAAGCTGTAGAAATAAATTTACATGGTGATGGATGGCCATAAAAGAAATGGCAAAATTAATTTAATATTAGTTATAAAGATCCTTTTCAATGACTCTTTCAGCATTTCTACATTTATCAGCTCTAGTCAAGATATTCTATATTAAAAAAAGAATCCTACTGGTTACCACTTCCAAAAATATGTCAATTTATTTTGAAGACGACTGAGGGTTTTGTGAACTTCTTTATTTCTTAATGTGTAGATAATAGGATTAACCAAAGGAGTCAGAATTGTATAAAAGATAGAGAAGATTTTACTGAGATGTCTCAGAGTGGGTGTGTCTGGCAACATGTAGACAATCATAATGGTGCCATAAAAAAGACAAACCACCGTGAGATGAGATGAACAGCTTGAAAAAGCTTTTTGCCTTCCAATGTTGGATTTGATTTTCACGATGGTGGTGATAATGGAAAAATAAGAAGTGAGTGTTAGAACAAATGGAGTAGCAGTCAAAAGAAAGGTCAAAAGAAAGGTAGCAAGTTCAATACGGCTTGTTTCAGTACAGGAAAGCTTTTGTAGAGGAGTTAGTTCACAAAAGTAATGGTCAATGATATTGGGGCCACAAAAAAATAGCTCATTAATCAGAAACATCATGATGCCATTAACTAGCAATCCATTCATCCATGCCCCAGCGATAAGCTGGAAACATAATTTCCTACTCATAATAGAAGCATAGAGCAAAGGTTTACATATAGCCAGATAACGGTCATAAGACATTGCTGCAAGGAGATACGTTTCGGTAGCTGCACAAGAGCCAAAGAAATAATATTGGGCTAGGCATCCACCCATAGTAATAATTCTGTCTCCGGTTAACAAACTGGTTAACATTTTTGGCAAGATATTTGAGGAATAGCAGGTTTCCAGGAAGGACAAATTCCCCAGGAAGAAGTACATGGGGATGTGAAGGTGTTGGTCAGCTACAACCAGCACAATAATAAGGAGGTTCCCAATTATTGTCACAAGATAAATTATCAGGAAAAGGAAGAAAAGAAGAGGTTGCGGCTCAGAGGTGTTCCCCAATCCCAAGAGGATAAATTCTGTGACGCCAGTCTGGTTTCTTTTCTCTCCATCCAACATTTCTTCATTCTCGGAAATGTCCTGCCAAGCCTGGAATATAATAAGAAAATCATGTGGTCTGAATGCTCCACTGGATAAGTCATTTTCCCCAAATCCCAACATGCTTTGAAAAAGTACACTAAATTCTAATTTGGATCAAATATCTGGTCCAGCATTCTGTACTTTCCTATCAGATTTGTTGCTAATGAATATTATTATAGCAATGATAATAAAGAGCCATGGTGGTGCAGTGGTTAAAATGAAGTAGTGCAGACTAATTCTGCTTACTGCCAGCTGCCAGCAGTTCAGAAGTCTGATTCTTACCGGCTCAAGGTTGACTCAGCCTTCCATCCTTCTACGGTCAGTAAAATGAGGACCTAGATTGTTGGGGGCAATATGCTGATTCTGTAAACCCCTTAGAGAGGGCTGTAAAGCCTGGTGAAGCGGTATATAAGTCTAAGTGTGATTGCTAATGATTGACATAAAAAAATTGCTTCTGCCCCAGTGTTCACCCAACTTTTTCTGAAAAGGTCAGAAAAAAAAATCAAGGATTAGAAAAAAACAGAAGAAATAGGCTAAAAGTGAGCTGATTGTAAATTTTTTAACACCCCTACAATGCAAAAATAATAAAAAATGAGTTTTATGTTGCATGGTAACAAACATAACATTCTTAAAATTCCATCATTGTTTGACTCTGATGCTCCTTAATTCCCATTTCTGTATTCTAAATTATAAAATTGTGTAGCAATATAAGCATCAGTGGTCAATAAGATGTGAATGTTTTTGATTTGATTGAAACAATGATGCCATCACATGTTTTAAATGAAAAGTTTCATTTGAATTCAAAATACGGAGAAATTATCACAGGGAAATAATTTTTCCCAGATGAAATAATTTCAGACATTCTTAAAAGATGAAGAAAAGAAATGTGTCTTCACACGGCATAGAGGATAACAATAAAACTCAAAAACAAAAAGAAAGGATGCTGCTCACAAATTTCTGAAATTTTAAAAGAGAGAATTGTATTAATAGCCACACATAATAATGGCTATTGATCACCTTAAAGGTAAGAACTGTCATGATCATTGATTTCACATTCTGGGAAACACAAATGGGAGAGAATTGCTGCAACCAGGTTTTGCTGTCAGATTCCACAGAGGTGCCTCTTTTAAACTGGAAAGGAGAATCAGATTAGCTTTGACCCAACCCATCATGGCATGGCATTAAATCTCTATTAAGATTTACCCTGGCAGCAAATAAAATATGCACACAGGTAGTCCTCAACTTACAGATGTTCATTTAGGGACAGTTCAAAGTTACAATAGCACTGAAAAAACCTATTATGATTATTTTTCATACTTATGGCCATTGAAGAATCTCCATGGATACATGATCAAAATTTGGACGCTTGGCAACGGGCATGTATTTATGACAGTTGTGCTGTCCCAGGGTGATGTGATCACCTTTTGCAACCTTCTGACAAGTAAAATCAATGGGGAAACCAGAATCACTTAAAAACCGTGTTACTAACTTAACAACTGCAGCGATTCATTTATCAACTGTGGCAAGAAAGATCATAAAATGGGAGGAAACTCATTTAGCAATTGTCTTGCTTAGCAATGGAATTTTTGGGCTCAATTGTGGTCATTAGTTGAGGACTACCTATAGTAAAAATGGGGCAGTAGTACGTAATTTTTATGCTTTTGGTATTCAAAACTTTTAGAAAGCTAAAAGAAAATTTAACAGATATAATCCAGTGAAGTTTATTTGGTCATAAACTTCTAGTCTAACTTTATCCAACTTTTTGAAATTCAGAATTAATTTGTTTTAATTCGAGAGATTTGCTTTACATAATGGATCTATGGGAAATAGTAATGGAAATCTTGGAGGGAAAGATTTTAATAAGGAGCCATCTGATGTTTTACATATGATTCATTGGCTGTGAAATTATTACCATTTTCCCCCTCCTCTCCCTGTGTCATTCTCTCTTTTTATATTTGGCTGGAGATTTTGCGTAAGATTGTATCCTCGTATTACCCTACTATTATAACATATAGTAGTTTCATCATGCAATAACATTCTGTATTTAAAAAAAACTTAACCTATACAACCCTATAGTTAATTATTTTGCTCTTGGTAGATTAATAAGAAATCTAGAGTTTTTTTAAAGAGATTCTACACTATCTTAGTCCTTTTATTTTATTTTATTTTCCTGTTCAAGCTAAACTTATCTGAAGGTATAGAATCTGTTTAAAAGATAGCATTCTATATTGCTGCTGCTGAAAATATTAGCAATTAAATGACTCAGCTTTATTTTATCAGCATTACTACTATATTCCTGTTACCTCTTCCTTAATTTGTGTGCTTTGTTCAGATATTGTTTTTCACAAGAGCCTTGCATAAACAATTACACCATTTTATATGAATGGAATATTGTTTAAAGACTGAAAAAATATAGAATATCATAATAGAAAAGCAAGGTGAGAAAATGAGTTAATTTTGAAAGCACAGCCTCAGTTTTTGTTGGGAGCTATTTGCCCAACAATATTTGGATTTAAAATGTTATGGAATGATGAACTAATTGTACTCAATCACATTGCCGATCCATAATCACTATACTGATTGAATTCAGATGCCACGGTTACCCATATTATGGTAGGAGCCTATTCCTATATTTTAATGAACTAATTATCAAATTCATCTCATGTATAACTTACTTGCTAACATATTATTCTCTGATTCTTAGATGTCGAAGCAATCAACATAGCTGTTTCTTCATGTTCTTCCAAAAAAATAGCAACACTTTGTATACCTTCTCCACAATAAATACTCTCTATAAGCTCTGAAAATAAGAGCTGTTGATGTAACCCATCTCTTAACCCCAAAGGAAATGACAACATTACATAATTTCCCATATGAATTTTTATCTTATTTAGGTCATATTAGGTTTTAAGTGTACTTGATTGATCAGAGGTTTGTTTTTTTTCCAGAAGTGTATTTTGTAAGTTTTGGGGTACAAACATGGCCAGCTGATAACAAGTGATTTGTACTATCTACTGATATAATTACAATTTCAATATATTGCTATGCTATATAATATGTTTAGCATTGACAGTCTGCTTCTATGCTGCCTTGGAATTTCTTCCAGACAAATGAATAGGATCCCCACTGAAAGCACATCAGAACTCTTCTTCAACAACAAGATTTTTAAGATGCTGTTAGTGGGGATCCTATATGAAAAGACTGCACATTTGATTCTTGCTCATGAAACTTTGCTTACCCCTTCCAGCAGAATGGCAGTTCTGCTTCCTGCTTTACAACAGCCCCTGCAATTTTCTGATAGCCAAAAAAGACAGCATCAAGTTCCCAATAGCATTGCTGTATACAGGTAGTCCTTGAGATATGACTGTAATGGAACCTGTTATGTCCTGGGCCTGCTGAATGACTCAGCAGGCTCAGGAGGCTGCAAAAGGCCTGGGACCAGACAGGCTGTCTCCAGCCTTGTGAGCATGTGCAAGGTGGGAGACTAGCCTTGCATTGATAGGCTGATGCTGTCTCTGCAAGGGAAGTATAAAAGAGCCAGCGCCATTTTGTTTGCTGTTCTGTTCTGTTTGTGATCTCAATAAAGAAGTTGTGTTTGTTACTCCTGCCTCGCTTCGATGTCTCTGATTCTAAAACAAAACAGAACCTGTCCGTTATAGTCACATCTTGTGGCAATCATTAGATGAAACATTCACTTAATGACCCTGATATCCCTGCTCTCCCCAATGAATTGTAAAATGAACATGTGAATTATTAAGTGGAGCCTGGGTTGCCTCATGGGTGGAAGAAGCCATTGGAGGTCCAATACAGGCTCACATGCCCTGCCCATCCTGATGGCCAAATCTGGTCCTAGGTTCTGCCTCAACATACTTTTTAATAAGTAACTGATTCAGAACATCATTTAAAAGCAATTTATTTAAGTAGTCTGATAAAGCGAGGTGTTCTTGTGAAAAGGGGGACCCTGGAAAAATGGCTTACATTTATTTTTATAGTTAGCACAACAAAGAACTTCAAAGTAAACGTTGATTGGTTTAGAAATAGCCACCTATCCAGTTACATCACAAGAATTAAAGCATCCATTATACGTGAGCATAGCCATAGAAAAGAGCATTATATTCTGAATAATAATAAAAGAAAAAATTGCAAAAGAAAAACATCAGAATGGGTATGGGTATGATACATTCTTAGTGTTTCCCAAGGTTAGGCTTGAAGATTTGCTTTGTTCATGGACGCTTGAGAACAGCTGAAAATTTACAATTTATAGAAAGCTCTCCTGCCCGGCTACCTCTCAGCTTGGTCACCTCTCAGCTGGGCTACCTCTCGCCTGTTTGTTCAAGGAGTTCAAGTTCTCTTTTTAATCCCTCCTGTAGCTAGCACATACTCTCCCCTTCACCAATCATTCTTAGGTATTCAAGTTAGGAATACACCTGATCACAAATTAGATATGTAACTGTAAGGCCTATTTCTTAAGTTCTCCTAATGAACACCATAGTTAAATTTCAGTTAGCTCTCCCTTTTCTGTCATGCAATTGCCTTATCCTTGGATTCTTACTACTTTAAATACATTTTCATGTTTTGCAATAGCTTCTACTTACCCTATAAAATCAGATAGCTCGAATCTGCAAATATGAAGTCAGGAAAGCGAACACTCAGAATGAACAAAGACTTGCAACAGAAGTCAAAGATAATAAAAAAAAGTTTCTTTCAATATATAAGTAACAAAAAAAAAGACAAGGAAACAGTCGGTCCACTAAAGAGAGAAGATGGCAAGGAAGTAATAGGAAGTAGAGAGAAAGCAGAGTTACTTAACTCATTCTTTGCATCAGTCTTCACACAAACTATAGACCAAATTACCAAAAACATAACTGTAAAAGCTGGACTGAAATAAAAATTAAAATGAGCAAGAAATGGTAAGAGAACACTTGTCTGACTTTGATGAATATAAATCACTGGGATCTGATGGATTACATCCCAGAGTT